GCAGGAAAGATGCCGATTCCAGAGCTAGCCCATTTTACTAGTTTTCACGAAGTAGACCTCAGACTTTTGAGCTGGTTAGCGAATAGCTCAGTTTCTGAAGAATGGAGATCGTATGGCTGAGGCGTTTCATTGCCTACCACCTGTTGAGGCTCCACACCAACTCACCGCGAACGTGGTGAGGCTAAGGTGCATTTCATAGAGTGTTCCACTCTATGACCTTGAGGTTAACGATGACTCACCATATGTGATCCCTATGCATTTCTTGATGTTTCTTCGATTCTTTTCCCTATGTATATATTTCTTGTTGCGCATTGCCAGTGTTCTTGTTTTTGCTTGCATTCGGGCCTAACCAAACATTACAGCTGAAAGACCATGTCAATCCAACAACTGTTCAATTTGGTAGGCATGGGATGAGAGTTTGGTCACAGCGATCATTCTGATTGACCGATAGTCTTAGAGTGCATGCAGGCTCTTGCAGATGCAATCTTTTCCGCTGTAAAGTGCGTCGATATGAGTGGATACCGTGGGCTGTTGGGATCCTTTGCTCCCTGAAGGACGACCTGAGAAAGATGACCGACCGTTGTAACGCTTGCAGCCCTAATACGGGGCAATGAGCAAGACTTTTTACAGATTCTAGAGTGAATTTGCCGCCTGGTCTTTCTGATGTTTTGCCAAACAGCAAGCGGTAGAGAAAGCAACAAATGTGAAACTAATGGTGCTTCTGCGGAGTTGTTCACTTTCTAGCTTGTCTCTCCCCACCGGGTTAGGAGCTGGCAAGTGCTAGTTCGGAACAGAGCCACTACTCTGCAAGATGTCGTTTGAAAGCCGAGCTGGAAAATGCTGCAAACAGTCGTCAATCTGGGTACCTCAAGTGTATTGGAATCCCAAAATCTGACTTCTGGACACGTGTTGCCGCTCTGCAAAGACAACATTGCCAAGACCTGGCTTGGTAGAAGGATGAAGCATGCAACAATGCAGTGCAATGCTTGGAAGGTGGACGATGGGAAGGATGATCCAGAGAGCTCTCGGGGAAGGCGTGGAAAACGCAAGGAGAACAGTTAGACCCCTTTGAACTTCACCTTCTTTTTCCGTAAGTCTTCCTTCAGGACTTGAGCACTCGGAGAAGACACATGGAGAAATCATCAGAGATGCATTTTGTTGGCTCAACATGGCTCAACTCGCTGAGCATCAACTCCTTGCCGCAAGAGGTTCTTCAAGTCCCAAAAGGTGTTTGAATGCGTTCACTTTTTTCGTTCCCTCCAGGCTTTCGACTTTTCTGAGCACCCGTTTCTCCTGCCCCATTTTACGGGAGGCGAGCGCAGTCATGTGTTTACAGTACATATAAACGCCACAGACATGCCTCCAATGGAGAATGCTTTGGGAGGGTTCACTGAAGATCTCCGTACCAGGTAGAGCACCAGAGAGGTTTCCTTCATCGCCTGGATTTGACCTCAATGGTCCGACTGTTCTTCAAAAATATCACAAGACTTCTAATGATCACGTTTTGGACTCTTTGATGCCAAGGATGTCCCTACATCCGGGCTGATCTTGGTGGCGAAGGAGCATCGAGCCTACTACGCCGGCAGCTCGGAAGAACTTGCAACAAACACTGAAGTTCAACGAGCTGGAAGCGAGAAAGCATCGGAGTATCTTCTAGTGAGGACTTGCAACTTCAATTGGCTGCTGGGCAGGTGGTGTCTTGACTGGAAGGGGCCTGCCTCCAAAATAGTTCTGTACTCCACTTGTGGATTCAGCCATGCACCTGACATTGCTTTAGAAGAGCATGTTTGGCCTCCGGCATTGCATTAAATCAGTCGTCCATCGTCAAGTGAGCTAGGCCCTAGGAAACCCGTCAGCAATATCCTAGGGCCCTAGGGAAAGAAAGCGACAAAAGCATGATAATAAGCGAACATCAAGCAAAAAAAAGGTGAACGTAAAGCGAACAAAAAGCAAAAAAACGACAAACACGCAAGCTACATTTGTTGCTTTTTTGTTTGCTTTATTTTGCTATTTTTTTGCATTTATTGTGCCTTTTGTTGTGCTTTATTTTTGCATTGTTTTTGCTTTTTGCTTTTGTTTTGCATTTTTTTGCATTTTCCTTTTTCTTCACACGAATACTTTGATGGTTGGTCATGTATGGCTGCCATTGCTTAACACAAAGCTAGGGACTTAAGGTGAGGTCTAACAACTGACAATCCGGCTTGCGTGTATAGTATAGCATAGCAAGACGGCTGGGAGATGGTGACTCACCCAAGGCCAGAGAATATGAGACTTGGTGGCAATATGGTGGCACTGGCGAAGCGGTATTAATATATTCTTGATCTTCTAAATCTTCATCATCATCACTATCAGTTGGTGACTTACTTGGTGCTATTGTTTCTATTGTTGGTGTCAATGATGGTGATAATGTTGGATTTAATGTAGCTGATACCTGATACTGATACAAAAGTGAAAGCAATATTAAAGAAACTGGAGAAGGTAAGCACGTGGAGCAGAAGGGAAGTTGAAGGGGAGGATTGGACAAATTCACCCCTTTCATTTTAATATAAACATATTCTTTCCAAGTAGCACTATCAAATAATGTGCTTTGCAATCCACCAATAATACCACCAACAATATCATACTGTAAATGATAGTATATCCAACAATATCTGAACCAATAATATATCCAACAATCACCACAACAATTACATCGCAAATAAAATCACCAACAGTGTGTCCAACAATAACTCCAAGTGTAATGACACCAACAATAATGTCACCAACAATATCTGAAGCACAAATATCACAAACAATATCAGTTTGTATGGAGGACCCCTCGAGAACATCAAAGAAATTCATGAAAACAGAGAGAGAGAGAGAGAGCGAGAGAGAGAGAGAGAGAGAGAGAAAGAGAGAGAGAGAGAGAGCTAGCTAGCGACTTGCAATGGAATGAGGTTGTTCTGTGCCATGGGCGGCTTCCTGTGAAGGCCAACGACGAGCGTTGCATTGATGCGCGGCTGGACTGGGGCCTGTGGGGTCGCGATGTGCCCAGTGGCCTGCCTGCACGTTCTTGAGGTCCGGAACAATTATTGGAAACACACGGCAAAGACGTGGTTTACTGGCCGCAGCTCCGCATTGGACCATGCTTCATTTTATGGAAACTTCATGGCACAGCGATTGGTTTCTATCGTCCATCTCCTCTCCGAGCCACATTCGGGCTTGATTCTGGGAGCAGCCCAGGTGTGGTGTGCGGACATGGAAAACCAGCCCGCACCAGGCTGATGAACGTTGCAATGAGCGGATGAGTTGTATAATGAGTGTTCAGTCAACCCTTGGCTAGAATAGACCAGATCAATTTCTTTAGACATTTGGCGCCATGATTGTTCAGGGTTCGGGTCCTGGATCACGTAGAGAGCAGTGGCCGCGCCCTTTGCTTGCTCACCGTGCTCATCGACACTGGCCGGAGGCTCGGATTTGTCGCAGTACGATTTTGCTGTCCTGCACGTCGCGATTCCTCAATGTTGGCAAATGCCACTATGTCCGACTGTGCCCCCATGTCTTTCAACTGTCCTGGCCGCCTGTGTCGACTTACACCGTGTTTGGCTGATTGTCGCTGCGCTGTTCTGGCTTCTGTCTCCCATGGTAGGTAGGTTTTGAACACTGGTCTGCTGCACAATGTAGAAGGACGCTTGTACATGACCTGGCCAGGCACCAGATCCGTGTGCACATGGCTCACATAGGCCACCCGGTAGCTGGTGATGGCAAGTACATGTGCCAGAAACTTAGCCTGCATGTGACTGTCTTGTTATGCATGCATGTATGTATATATATAATATATATATATATTCGGATCGGGTGATGGGGCACTGGGGCAATTTAGCAAGGCCTTGAGACCCTCAAAGAGGATGCTTGGTCTCCGCGGACCTGGCTACATCGCTACCGGCTGTGCTTTCGAGCTAGGCCACTCACTCAATCCCGGGTTGGGTGTTCAAAGCAAATGGCAAAGCTGTTGGAGACCAAATTTAGTATTGCCACAAAGTGAGGTTGTACCGTGAGCAATTAGTGGTGCCTACAAAATGCTCGGGCCAAGACAGTGCCCCTCCGGCAGGTCAGATATTGGCAGGCCAGAAGTCCATGAGGTGAGCATGGCCCGCAGGGGAGGGACTTCTTCAGCCGGGAGCTTGCAACTAGGAGCAGTCAAAGCCTAGTATATAGAGTTGACCACCAGCGGAGATGCAATCATCAGATTTTCAAGATGTCGTGCACTTTCAATATCGCACAGTCCAAGGCCAGAGAGGCACCAGATTGCATTCTGCAACAAATGACTGTTGAAATGCAATCCCCCCTGTGCTAACCGCAGCAATGAAGCCTCATTGCAATTTCCGAAAGAGGGCACTCGTTGGTCTAGATGAAGGTACATAGTCGCTGCCACGCCCTGAAGGTGATTGAAGCGCTTCCGACAGATCTCCGGGAGGCAGCTTTGAGGCAGTGAAACAAGGGAGAGAGATGGAGAGGGTCGAAGAGATCCCATCGAGCACAGATGGACGAACATGCAGTGCCAACAAAATTCGAAGACTCAAAGAGTGTTCTCATTTCAGGCACTTTCAACATCATCCTGGCTCACCGTGCTGACCTCAGGCTGAGCTTGCTGATGGGCTCGAAGCCAGTTCGTAAGGAACTGGAAGGATACTTTCTGGCTTTTTGTGCTGTAACTGTAGCTGACAAGTTCAAGCGACCAGGCTTGCATACTGGTGCACGGCCGAAGATACAGCTGCCTACTTGAAGAAAAAAGAAACCGTTGAATTGGCTGCTTTGTGGGTGTTGACCAGCACTTACTGTAGTTACACGATGTTACACGAGCTTTTTTCAAGAAGTGTTCTTGATTGGATGCCTGATTCGATTTATGATCAGCGGCTTGGACGGGGAGGCATGGGTGCAAGAGATGAAGGCTGCAGTGACATTGCATACACATGCACGACTAAAAACATCGAAGAACTTTCAAACACCTTGTTGAACAACATATGTCGAACTGAACGCAACCAGACTGCTGGCGACCTTTTGTCATGTCGACCGACATCGAAGATGCACAGGAGACGACCCATTACGTACCGGAAGGCATACCCCCACGAAGTACAAGACCCTCCCGGCGCCACCTGTATCAGCCTTTGACAAATTTGGCAGCTTCTGGTGGAGGCTGCCCAAATGATCCCCGGGAAAACGTTGCTGCTCAAGCATCCACTGGCCGCCTGGTTTGGACTTTTGTTGTTGGTGGCGTTCTTGGGGCTGCTGCAGCAGGCTGCTTCCTTTTCAGCGCCAACCGTCAGAAAAGAGCTCGTAGCATTGTCTCGGGGATTGCGACCATCAATGCTTGTGAAGGCAAAGACTGTACGAGCTTTGATTGCGAAAAAGATCAAGGTGATTGGGTCGAGAAGTGGTCAAATTCCAAGAAGCTCTATTGCTGTGGGATGACCTGCCTGGAGAAGTCCATAAGGTTGAAGAAGAAGATGCCAAGTGGACCTCCTGCTGTGCCGAAGCTCTCAGTGCCGCATTCCACGACTACGACTACGACTACTACGAACACCACCACAATTAAAGTGACTACGACTAGCACCGCTGAGACTACTGCAGCGACAACTTCCAAACACGCAGTGGTGCACCCTGAGCCCAAGATCCATGCACCCTCGCTTTTAAAAGGGATCAGCTATTGCCCAGTGCCGGTGAAAGCCACAGAGTCATTGAAGTCTGATGATTGGATGACAGACTTAGCCAAACCACTCTGGAGTGCATCTGGGCGTGGAGACCTTCATGTCATGCATTCACTAGGCGGGATAGAAGTGCATGTAATGACATAAACTCAGGCCCGTTTCTTGGCTGAAGTTTAACGTGCCAGGTGCCAATGCGGTTCGGCTCTATGGCAACAATCCGGAGCTTGACCACGCGCACTTCCTGGATGAAGCGCGTGCAAATGATTTGAAGGTGATCCCTGGCATGAGCGATTTCCCCTACTACCAAGACCCGACAACAAGCTGCGTTGCCACACAATATAACTGCTTCAGCCAAATCAAGAAGCAGTATGGAGAGAATCTGAAGAATGGCTTCTTGACAAAAGAGAAGCAGTACCATCCAGCATTGAGGTACTTCATTTTGATCAATGAGCCTGATCTGAAGATGCCTCGCACCGCCAACAGTGCTCCCGGGGATGCACCTTGGTCGCAAGAAAGCCCCAAGTTTACGAAGTCTTCGAAGTTCAGAGCCTTCAACTTGGGACTTTCCCGTGAGTGGCACGGATTCTTTCCGATTCCACGGACACGACGTACAACAAAAGCATCGACTCACCTCGACTCCTCGACCTTTTGTCCTTTTGTTTCGCGTCGACTCACCGGGACTCACCAGGACTCAGCGAGTCCTTTTCGATTCGCAGCCTTAGGCTGCGTTGCTGGCAAAAGCCATCGTCAGCTCTTTCGACGCTGTGTTGGATGCTGAGAAGGATGCACGAGTAGTGGGGACCGTCATCAACTTTACAACCACCTTCTCCTATGCCATTTGCACTGCCTGCCCCAACAACGAGGGTCTGCCCGCCTTGGGGCAAATGCTGCTGATTGAGGATGCCATGAGGTCCCTTGGTTTCCTTATTCTGCAACCAGTCTGTGTCAAGGGACAGGATGCCTGAATTGCTTAGCCTCCTAGTGCATTCCCTCCCGCCAGACTTTTTGGCGCGCTTTTCCAGTGCAGGTCTCCCGAAAAGTATGGCTACAGGCCAAAGCACCAGCTCTACCCGGCCTACCTTCAGAGATGGGTCAACAGCTTTAACACAGCCAACTCAGCGGCCGATCTTCAGCGTACATTCTTTACTCACTACGGGAAGGTCTTCCCCACGACTCCCGTCTTCATTGGTGACCTTGGCGTGAAACCAGGGCCCTTGTAGTGGCCTCGCGTCACGCTATTTGGAATCATTTGCAGATTGCCTCAAGACCCATGCTAACCTTCAGACAAAGAGAGAAACTTGTGATCCTTCTAGTCCGACTTGGCAGTCCAAGGCGAGTATCATAAGCCGGAAGGACCGGTGCTCGCTGAAGTCAAGGATATTCTACACCTTACCACCACCATGCCGCTATTTCTAGGCATCTCTTTCTTCGAGTTCCAAGTTGCATACTGGAAGGGTGGCGCAGAAATGGCCTTCGGCCTATTTGGGCTCGGTGGCTACCCCATTGGCCACTTCAAGTATGCAGATGGAGCAAAATATACATCTTGGTGCTTGCAGCCTCTTGGATCTTCTTAACTTCAACTGTCAAAGTTCGTTCTACAGGAGCAAGAAGGGAATCATGTATAGACAGAAAAGTTCCCGGCAAGAGACCCCAAACAGTGTAAAGTTCGAAAAGGACGAGTCCGAGGTAGAGCACCCACGATCACAGGGGAAGAGAAAGTAGAGGAAAAAGTAAGCGGTAGAGGGAAGAGATGGGAAGAGATAGGTAACACTTGCAAATGCAAAACATATGACTTCAAACGAAAAAGAGCAGGCAAGTTGAAACTGCCAAAAGCAAACGAAACGATCTCTACTTCTAGAGGCCTAGAAACAATACTCTCTAGGCGACAGAGGTCTAGAGGTCGGGAAAGCGATCCAAGTAGAGATTACTGCAAGAGAGATCTAGATACAAAGCTCCATGCCTAGATCCAGACAATTGGTTGTATTGTAGAGGTCTCTAGGTCTAGAGGTCCACAAATCGAGAAATCGAGAGAACGATCTGAAGGTCTATAGAGATCAAAGGAATTAAGAGATCTAGGCCGAGTGCTTCGATGCAAAAGGTCTTAAAATTTAGATCTAGGTCGCGAGGTGCGGAGGTCTAGCGATCTAGAGGTGTTGAGATTCTCTGCTATAGGTCTAGAAGCAACAATATAGTCTCAAGGCTGGAGTTTGAGAGGTCTGGAGATCTAGAGGTTGAGGTCTAGAGAGCACACATATGAGAACGCAATGATCAGAACACACATCTGAGAACACGCGTCAGATAGCACAGAATGCGATCTAGAGGTCTTGAGATCGAGAGCGTCGAGGTGCACACCGTGCTGAGCCTGCTACGAAATCTGCACTTCGAGGTTCACAAAGTGCTGCGCCTGCTACGAAATCTGCACTTCCAGGTTCACAAAGTGCTGTGCCTGCCACGAAAT